CTGAAAACAGGATATCATGGCTTTACAAGTAAAAAAAAAAGGGTAGATATATCATGGTTTTCCCCAAAAATTATATTGTTTGTTTTTCATATTAGTATCTTCTTCTTTCAAACTTGGAAACTTTGAATTCATGAGCATTCTAACCATAGTTTCTCTAAATCACATACCATGCACGAGAGAGGTGAAGCACGAAGGAATGTGAACACCCACAAGTAGTGAGCTCATCGGTTGTTATGATCGCAGTAAGAAATCCATCAACCCAAAATAGCTTCTCATTTTCATTACATGAACGTGATGTAAATTAGGAAGGTTGATGAGTCGATTAGCCTTAGGTGTATAACTCGACTCAATTCTCACGATCCGTATTTAATGGTTTTGAATTGGGTCGAGTTTGAATATGGTCCAATTTGAGCCAATTTATTTATGTATACTCAAATAAGTTTATTTGGGTCCAGACGATTGTAGACACAAAAATACAATATTGATCATCTCATTAACTTCCTCCAGCCTAATCACACCTCTGATGTTGATGTTTTCATCTTTCTGTTTGATTCATAACGAAAGATAAGGCAAAATTGCATTAGAATAATATATTATGAATATGCCCCAAAACTCATTTGACCCATTCTAAAATGTGTTTGGACAATACCCAAATATTAAGTGTTTTTTTTGCTACGGTTAATCTCAATTGCACTAATACAAAAATAAGCAGTATATCTATAATTTATTAATAACTTCTCTATATTATCGACTTAATGACCACACTTATCAAAGCACATATACCTTGTTTCTGTCCATGTTTCAGTGTTAAGTTTCATAATAATATGATACAAATTTCCCAAAAAAAATTATACCAAATTAGTTTCTTTTCCCCCTTTTTTTAAAGTGTATTTTAATTAGTATTATTGTACCTTGTCCCCTAAAATAAATCTAAAAACAGGGAACAGCAGCGTTCGCAAGTCGCAACAAGCCCATTTTCACGTGGGCTGATTCTTTCCCTTCCCTTTTTTTTTATCCCCCAGACCTGATTCAAATTGGAACATTAATTTTTGAACTAAATCTCATTATTTCCCCCCCTCTTTTAAAAACATATATATAGAACTCTAATTATTTGATGAGATGTTTTTCACAAGGGTGGCAGCGACAAAGAGGAAAAAGAAGGAGTGGGGCGGCCGAGGGAAGAAGAAGAAGAAGAGGAATTCCGTGAATTATGGATCTGAAGGTGGATTGCGCGGGAGTAATTATTGGGAAGTTAAAATGGACGGCGGCAATCATGGCCACGTGTGTGGGTTGGCTGATTCCGTACTCCCTCCTTGGAGACATACGCTGCCAAGTGCCAATCAAAAATTAAGCTCATTCCCGAAACTACCCCCGGTCCTCCATGTTTCGGTCTTCCCCTCCCGTGCTCCTCCATTTTATGGTCCAACTCCATCGTCAACAACTAGGATGTAAATGAGACGAAAAAGATTTTGTGTTTGAACTTTAAATCTTCATAATCGCGAGCTGATATTAACAATGTTATCCCCCACACGACAACATCGTGAGTTCGTTGAGCTCCGAACCTAGTATACGTACAAATTTTGATTTCGGAGACAATCATGACATGTTGCTTATAGTTTTGTCATCAGGGTTCAATTCATTATCTTACATTAGAAAAGTGACATAAATTCGGGTACGGAAGGTTTAGAAATAAATCAATTTCGATTTATTTATCGCGTTTGCTCAAATTATTTCCGGTCAGCATCTAATTGAAGAGAATAGTATCAAGCCAAGTTTATATTCAAATTCCCAGGTAAGAGTGTGCTTGTCACAAAACTCATATCCCAACAATTATCTTATAAAACAAAGCAAGATGGTATTGAGAGTGATAGGATTAGGGGAGACATCAATATTAATAATTGTCAAACAATGTATGAATGCCTAATGAACGTTATACAACTTTTTTTTCTTCTTTTTTGACCAATTCTTAGGTAGTCCCATTAACTAATTATTAAACTCCTATATGTAATAATATTATGCATATATATGAATGTGAAGGGTAATGTGAAATTAAATGGTCACTCTCATTAATTGTGCACGGACCAAAAAGAAACAAAAGGGACGATGACAAGATGCATACCAACATTTCTAAATTACATCTCAACAAATATCGAGTTGCTATTGATTTACACCACACACCAATATGAAGCCATTTTGACTATCTTCCTCACTATGTGGTAAGCATATATGAACGTCCTAATGACTTATCACCATTTGATAAAATAAAATAAAAACATTGGATGACAATGAAATAAATATAAGTGGTTTTGACGTGTTGGTTTTCATTCAAATATATTCCTCATAATCTGTAATTATTTCTCAATATATCAACCAAAAACATATATTATGAGAATGATATCAGAATCAATAAAATTCTACAAAAGTCTTACCAAGAACTAACAGGCTAATTTGATTACTACAAAAGTAAAAAAGAAAAACAGGCTAATTTGACGTTTCGATGTTAATTGATATTGGTTTATAATATTGGCTTTCAAACTATTTGGCATCGTTTCTGTGTAGCTACTATTCTGTAGTTTACTGGTTTAATGGTGCTATTATTAATATATTATTATTTATATTTGTCTAGGTTAAGACTACGGCCAAAAACCATTGGAAGAGACGACCCTAATAAATAACATATATATTTTACTGCTTTTATCGAACTGGTTTTGGCCAGTAATGTATGTAGAATTGTAGATGTCAATAGCTACAAGTCTCTTTGGTTTACAATGTTTTGTCGGGAATTTTCGGCGGTGATTTTAATTGATTAAAAGTTAAGACGAAGAGTTGAACATGTTCCTTTCTGTAGGAATTATAGACTTTGTTATTTATAATGTTACTCAATAATCACATAAAAATATATTACTTCATTCCGCAACACAACAATAAGAGTAGGATGATCGTTAGGCACAACCTGAATCGCAGGATTTCCTGCTACCAAAGCCACACACCATGATTTAATTTTTTTTTTTTTGCGGACTATTTTTTTCCCGGTAATTAGAATCTTATTAAGTACGCTTGATCAAAGCGATCAAGGCTCGCAAAAATCTCAGGTTGTCCACCTTACATCAGCAAAGCAAAAGAGCTATCTACTAGTACATTTCTAGAGTTTCTCCTAGTACAGGGGTACTTGAAGAGCATTACTTCCTCTCGTAACACTGCAAAAATCACTTCCCATGCCCTTGGTAGCTCACCAAAAACTCGGCGGCATCTCTCTTTCCAGATTAGATAGCAAAGCCAACACCAAATTGCACATATCACAGGACTTGTATGCCTCATTTCTTAGCAATCCCATATATCCTCTGCAACATTCCATCCCAATCCGTGCCTCCCATAGATGAAATAAACACTGCTGCAAACAATTTCTCAGCATACTCACAGCAGCGGAATAAGTGAGTTCGTCCTACCAAAAAAAAAAAAAAAAAGAATAAGTCAGTTCTAGTCTCCTCCTGTTTACCACACAGAAGGAGTCAGTAATCTTACCCCCATACTTTAAGCTTATTACGAGTTGTGATTCTATTCAAAATTATCAGCCGCATAACCACTCTATTTCTCAGCAAGACAAATTTACTCCACAACACTTCCCAGAGGGTCCGTGACTATTATTTCTGCGGTAAGTTAATTGTATTATTTACGAAAAATTGAAAATCATAAACGCAAAGAATGAAATTTACCGTTCTTATTTTATACTTGATAGCCTAATTTCTCTTCTTGTATTTATAACAATTTATAAAAAAACTAACTAATAATCGAGGATTTTGATCAATTAAAAGAATTTATGCTGTAAGTACAGGATACCTTTAAATTCATGGGGCTGCCATAGATAAATAAATAACCACTATCATTATTAAACACAAACACAGAGGTTGGTAAAAAGGGCGAAAATTCAGTTCAGTGGGTGTTATAATAGTTAGCGCATTAAAATCTTTCACATGATATTAAAAGGAAGGACCATTCCGTCATTTGCTCACCGCATTTATTCCCAGATCTGCTAACTGACAAACCACGAGGTCGGCAACTGTCGGCCGGTTAGCCGTCGGCCGGAATCACTCAGCCGCGATAAATTCCAAACCCCGCCACCGCGCAAAACTAAACTCAACAAAACTGGAGCCAGGAAAATATAAGACATCGTTTGGAAACAAATTCGATGAAATAATTTCCTCTAATTATTTTAAAATAGACTCATTTAAAAAGTCCATAAACGACCCCAGTATTAATTCCCTAATTCCTTATTTAATTAAATTAGTGGAGCATTATTATGTGTCAGTCAGTCTCCTTATATTATTCCCTTCTTCCCCGATGCGCAATCCACCTTTCCCCCTTCTCCCCCCACTTCCCCATCTTCTCTTCTCTCCCAAATCCAACTTCTTCTCCAGTCCCCTGCAATGGAATCTCTCCATTGAAATCGGTACCCAATTAAAATCAACTGCTCTCTCTTTCTGTTGCTTACTCTCTCTTTGGTTAATCCCCTTATATGAAGCCTCCTTGGCCATTTCCGTCCCCGTTTCTGCCGGTAAGTTGTCTGTTTTTGGCAAACAGACCTTAAATTGGTAGCACTGTTAGCTGTTCGTTGGTTTCCCCTTTTTCTCTTCTTGCTCTCTTTTGGCTTTCTGTTCGGTTTGTTGCCTGAATCTCCATTTCTGGTAGGCGATTCGCGTTTGTCGCTGTAACTGTGGGTTTTCTTCCCTGTTTCCACCCTTTTCTGTTCGTCTGTTATGAGGTTTTATCTAAGGAGCTGGCGTCTTTTTGGTGTTAGTTGTGATTGGTGCTGTTCTGGATTGGTTTTTGGGTTTAAGTAGGTTTTGGGTTTACAGGGATTTGCATTTCTGTTTCTGGGTTGATTGATCTTCTCTGCAACAAGCCTTTCCTTCGAGGGAATGTCAAAAATTCAATATGTAGGGTTCATGTTCTTATTTCCCGAGATTCTGAATTCATTTTTCAGCCTATTCTGTTGAGTTCTTATGCAATGGATTTATAGCTCCCGTTTAGGTGTTCGATGAAATGTCTCAATCAGTGAATCGGGCCTGTTTTTTTTTTTTTTCCTTCCTCGAATTAGTTACTCAGTTTTCCCCTGTAATGGTTGCTTGCAACTGTTGTGTTCTTGTGAATGATTTGGGATACAAATAGAAGGTTGCCCTTCCATCATCAATCAAGCTTCCCTGCTGGACTCATGATATGTTTCTTTCATTTCGTGTCCATTTTTATTGTGGGAATCATGCGATTACCTGAAATTAGTGATTACCTTTTTCATAGTCTCATGTGATTTGGAAGATTAGGTTCCCACTTAGCTGGGCTAACCTTTTGTTTTGTCGTGTTGTAGTTGATATAGATTTATACTTGAAGCCTGAAGGATCCCCCTTTGATTGACAATGATGGATATTGCCGAAGTTGAAGAGAGTCTTTTTGCAGCCACTGATGCCAAGGTATGATCACTTGTTCTCATCATTTCATGTACAAAAATGGATTTACATTTGGCCCCTGTTTCCAAGTTTGGAATTGGAAGCATGACATGTTAACCCTGAGAAAGGGAAGCTGTAAAGTGCGTATCGTAGTCTCATTTACTACTTGGTTTGGATTCTCAGAAGACTGATATGGTTGGTGAATTAAATTATAAATGGATCTTTCCCCATATGGGATGAAGCAATTCTTACCATGTGTCCGTGATCATAAGATTTTCTTCGATGGTTGATTGAGTTTCTTTTTCCGTGTAAACAAATTGACTGATGATCGCGTTACTAACTGTTTCAGTTGCATGGAGAAATGTGCAAAGCTTTATCTGCAATCTATTGCAAGATCTTGTCTGTTTTCCCGTCCTTAGAAGCAGCACGACCTCGGAGCAAGTCGGGCATACAAGCACTATGTTCACTCCACATAGCACTCGAGAAAGCGAAAAACGTTCTTCAGCACTGCTCAGAATGCAGCAAACTTTACTTGGTTAGAGGATAATCTCTTTCGCTCTTTGTGTCTGTCTCTTACTTGATTGCCTCAGCTCCTTTGAAGTGCTCACGGAGCTATCATTATGCAGGCCATCACCGGAGACTCCGTCCTCCTAAAATTCGAAAAGGCGAGAGCCGCCCTTGTGGATGGTTTGAAGCGAGTCGAAGATATCGTTCCACAGTCTATTGGTTGTCAAGTAAGAATTTCAATTTCCCCTCTCATTTTTTCTTTCTGATATTCTGTAATTGTTTTGCTTACTTATATACATTTCTTCTTCCCTCCAGATTTTGGATATTATAAATGAACTCGAGTCGATCACATTTTCACTCGATCCATCAGAGAAACAAATCGGCGATGAGATCATTGCGTTGCTTCAACAAGGCCGTAAGTTTGACAATTGCAACGACAGCAATGAGCTCGAATCCTTTCATCAGGCTGCTACAAGGCTAGGTATTGTTTTAGGGATAATAATCTTCTGGCAGTTATTTGTGAACTATCTTTTTTATATATTTTTAGCTATCATGTATCGGAAAAGGTATTCATGTATTCCATTTAAACTCTATTCAGGTATAACCTCTTCTCGGGCAGCTCTCACTGAACGAAGGTGTCTCAAGAAACTCATAGACAGAGCTCGTGTGGAGGAAGACAAGCGAAAGGAGTCCATTGTAGCTTATCTATTACACCTCATGAGGAAATACTCGAAGCTATTCCGAACTGACCTTACAGCAGATGACAACGACTCGCAGGGGTCAACACCTTGTTCCCCGACTATCTTAAACTCGTTTGACGATAACAATAACCAGGCATTTGATCGTCATCTGTCAAAGCTCAGCTCTTTCAACTTCAAGATCCCAAATTTTAGAAAGTCCGAGCAATTGGCAGTCCCACCAGAGGAGCTGAGGTGTCCGATATCGCTCCAGCTCATGTATGATCCAGTCATCATTGCTTCGGGGCAAACTTATGAAAGGATATGTATCGAGAAATGGTTCAGTGATGGACATGACACGTGCCCCAAGACTCAACAGAAGCTGCCTCATTTGTCGTTGACTCCAAACTACTGCGTCAAAGGTCTTGTTGCTAGTTGGTGCGAACAGAATGGAGTTCTTGTCCCCGAGGGTCCACCAGAGTCCTTGGACTTGAACTACTGGCGGCTGGCATTGTCTCAATCTGAGTCAAACTCGAGGTCAACCGATAATCTTAAACCTGATTTCGTCAAGAGTGTGAAAGTTGTTCCTTTGGAGGAGGCTGATGAGAGTGAAATGGAGAGTTTATCTCCAGTGGATGAAGATATCCATGAGGAAGAAGATGACAATGAGGTTGATGCGTTGAAGCGATGTCAGGATTTTCTTAGTGTGTTGAATGATGAGCGTGAGAACTTGAAGAAGAAGTGCACGGTAGTGGAAGAAGTGAGATTGTTGTTGAAGGATGATGAGGAGGCAAGGATTTACATGGGAGCGAATGGATTTGTGGAAGCGCTTCTGCAGTTTCTGCAGTTGGCTGTTCGAGCTAGGAATGGTTCGGCTCAGGATAGTGGTGCCATGGCTCTGTTCAACCTTGCAGTCAACAACAACAGGTTTGTGTTTAATTCTTCAATATGGTAGTAGAATGTTACATATGAGCCACAGCCCAGGAATTCTCAGTGTGCTCTGATTTTGAATTTTCAGGAACAAAGAAATGATGCTAGCCGCTGGTATCCTCCCTCTCCTCGATGAGATGATATCAACCTCAGACTCCCACGGGTCAGCAACCGCCCTCTACCTCAACCTGTCCTGCCTCGAAGATGCCAAATCTGTCATCGGATCCAGCCTTGCCGTACCCTTCCTAATCCAGATCCTGCAAGGTCAATATCCAACACAGTGCAAGCTCGACGCTCTGCACGCCCTCTTCAACCTTTCGTCCAACCCTTCCAACATCTCAAACCTCCTTTCTGCTGGAATAGTGAACGGCCTCCAATCCCTCCTCTCTTCCCCCGGCGATTATCACTCGTGGACTGAGAAGGCCATAGCAGTGATGGTCAACTTATGCTCGAGTCAATCAGGCAAAGCAGAGATTGCAGCTTCTTCTGGCCTGATAACCGCAATAGCATCATTACTTGACACCGGAGAAACAGTCGAGCAGGAACAATCCGTTGCGTGTCTCTACATGCTCTGCAATGGGAATGAACTATGCAGTCAAATGGTCTTACAAGAAGGGGTCATTCCTGCACTGGTCTCCATCTCTGTAAATGGTACTACAAGAGGCAAAGAGAAGGCCCAACGACTTCTGATGCTCTTCCGCGAGCAGCGCCAGAGAGAACAGCAGCAGCAGCAACAGCAACAACAGCCTTCACCATCTCTTGCTCCATCTGCTGAAAAAACTGCTGCAATAGCGCAAGCTGAGAGCAGCAGTACTTCTAAACCGGGACCAACTCCGGAAAAGAAGCCGCTATGTAAAGCTGCATCCAGAAGAAAGATGAGTAGAGCCTTTAGTTTCTTCTGGAAGAGCAAGAGCTACTCGCTTTACCAATTCTGATAAGAAGAGTTGGGTTGGCGATTGTACATTCACTTCTCCATAATGTATCTTCTTAACACCCCCTCCTCCTTTTGTTTGTTTGGACAGACTTTTCTTCTTCATCCGTTTTCTCATTTCTGGTTTTACAAATAGAGGAAAGAAGAGATGTAGAGGCCGCCCCCGTGTAAGTATGGCATTTTGGTTATCCATCTTTGCTTTCACTCTTCTTGATAGGGAAATACATGTAACATTATGATGTATGTTTTCTTGTCTTCCCATGTTAGTTTAACACAAGTCAATACAAAACAAGTTTTAGTACTAGTGCATTATTTCTTTCTATTGAAAATTATAGAACAGTAAAATGAGTTTAAACGCGTAAAATACGTACATGCATATTATATTGTATTTAATCAATGATCTCTAATTGGCTTCCTGTTATCACACAAGTTCTTGCTGTATACATATATAGCTTCTTTCTCCTCTTAAGAAACAATCTCCATTTCAGCTTTCTCTTCAACTCCTTTGCTTCCAGTCTCCACAGTCTCCATTCCTTCATCTTTCCCGCTTCCACTTTCGTCCAACAGCTCCATCTGCTTCTCCCTTTTCTTCTCCAGAAACCCAACAAGTCCTTCAAGGACATCATCAACATCACCGCCCTTCATCAATTCCTCCGCAATCTCCGCTGGTGTCACCTCCAATTCCTTGATCAGCCTTTCGATCTCATCAAAAAGGCGATGGTTCTCGATCTGGAGGTAGTTGGAAGCCAAAATCCTGAACCCATTCGGACTGCAGTATGACATGTGGATGTGCATGTCCATTCGACCCGGCCTCAACAATGCTGGGTCGAGCCGATCCTTGTGGTTCGTCGTGAACACGATAATCCTCTCGTCGCCGCAGCTCGACCACAGCCCATCGATGAAGGTCAGCAACCCAGACAGTGTCACCTGCAATGTATATAAAATACTAGATCAACATCAGGAAATTAAATGCACTTTGAAACTAGTTACGAGGAATGTTTAATTTTTAACTCACCTGATTCTGACTCCCATGATCATACCCTGCATCACCTCTGTCTTGCAATTGAGCACTGCAATCAATATCCTCAATCACGACAATCGATCGATTCGCCGTACCAGTCAGCAAGCTCCTGAGCCCACCATTGCCTTGCACACTGGCAAGTTCCAAGTCGTAGATGTCGAATTTGAGGTAATTAGCCATGGCGGCAACCAAGCTCGACTTCCCGGTCCCAGGTGGTCCATACAACAAGTAGCCTCTTTTCCACGCCTTCCCAACTCTACGGTAGAAGTCTTTCCTCTTCACAAACCTGTCCAAATCCTCCATGATCTCTCTCTTCAGCTCTGGTTCCATTGCCAGTGTGTCAAATGTGGATGGATGGTCCAGATTGATTGATCCCCATGGCCCTTCGTAGTATTGGGCAGTGACACTTCCATATGCATACAGTCTCACAGATCGCTTCTCGCTCTCCATACACTTGAATGTCTCCATCACGTAGGGAAGATAGTTGTTCAACACCTAAACAATTACGATAAAACGACCATAAAGTTAACTTGAGTAGCAAGTCTTCACTGGATCAACTTTGGTTAAGATTGGATTGCTTACCTCATCTTTGTATCGCTTATGGAAGCTCAGCGTGACTGACTTGTGCTCAGTCTTCCCGTTCGAGCCCGACATGTCCTCGTAGTTTACGATAATCTGCTGAGTCTCCGTAGTGACGAATTCCCACACCAAATCCATCCCTCGGAACGTGTCAAGAACCTGTTGTCCCCTGTTTACCTTGATCGACAAGGATTTCTCTCGAGGCGCCTTGCTGACCTGAAGCTGCCCGATGGAACTCGTGATCCTAGTGCTCAAGTAGACTTCAGAAGCCTGATAGAGCTCGTTGAGTTCCATGTTGGCGTGTTCTTTGATGAAAAGGGTCATTTGGGTGGTTGGGTTAGTGAAGAACTGACCAAAAATGGACAGGATTTTGACTTGGAGCCATTGAGGGATCAGTTGGGTGGCTAAGGTTTGGACCTCGTTGAGTATCGTTCTGACGAGCATTGCTGCTGCGGCGAAGGTTGAGTACATGGCTAGGATCGAAGAGGTCGATGGGATATTGGATGCGGTGAACATTTTTTTTTTGTGTGTGTAAGTCGTTGTAGATAGTTCGAGGAGTTGGATGAAATGCTTTGGCTAAGTGGGTTTGAGAGTGGTGTGAGTATTTGGTTGGTATTGGCAGGTTTTATATACAGACGAGAAACATAACAAATAAGTGAGTAGCTTGCAGTTGAAGCTGTTTGCTTGGGGGAAACTTGGTTGGAAAGTCATTAGAGTAGAATTGGTCAAACCACATGGCAATGTCATATTAATTATAGCCAATGGCAAATCTTGCTGTGGAATCATTTGTGCAATGGACCGGAATTGGTTGGTGGGACAGAGAACCATTGACTTGTGAATGGACTAGATGTAGGTCCGTGTCTAATTGAATAAACCGTGAAGGCCAGCCCAACCTGTAGCCCATCAAGGGCCCTGTAGTAGCATTAGGGATGTCAATTTTGACCTGACCTGTTTTACCTGACCTGTTTGATATGTTTTAACCTGTTTTGGGGCGGGTCCGACTTGCTCCGTAGGCGGGGCGGGGCGGGCATGGGTAGTCTCATTGACTCTACCTGCCCTGACCCGCCCCATTCTCGACCCGTTCTTGTCTAAATTACATGTAATCTTAGTCAAATTACTTAAAATTTTCCTTTTATTGCATCATATTTAAGCTATAATAAAGTTGTAAATTAGTAAAAACCTCAATTTCTCCAATAATTTAACTACAATTGTCATAATATTGTTTGTTTTCTTAGTATTATAATAAAAATAATGAATATTTCTAATGTTTTCATATAATTTGCATACTCATTGGGTCGACCTGCCCCGACCCGCGACCCCTGATCAATTATCCGACCTGGACCCGGCCGGCCACGGGACGGGTCTGGGTACCAAGAAACCCGCCCCGGACTTGCCCCATTGCCATTCCTAAGTAGCATGTCGTATGGAGCTGGAAGTGGCTATTGGAGAAGGCCCATGGTTCGGTTGCCTGGCCCAATTTGAACGAAATACGAAAAAAATCCGGGCCTCTATTAGGAAAATTGATGTTTGTAAATGATTGATGATATAACTACCCCGTGGTCTTCGAAACTGTTGTGGTCGGTGGCGCTGTGATAATCGTCAACGTCATTGCCGTATTCTGCGTGCAGGACTTCGCTCTTCGTGTGTATGGATAATTTCGGCACAGAGAAATTCCGGTTGCTGGTGATCCATGTAAGGGGCATCCCCGTTGGGAGGGGATTTGGGAAACCAGATCTGGTGATTGGCGAAGCCAAGGATGATTTTCGAGTCGGTAATCATAGTTTCAGATCCGATTGATCATCCTCTGGAGGTGGTTGAGACGATGACGGAACCGCTGATTAATGTTATGATCAGTTGCGGATAACGATGAATATGAGACATCCCTCACGCCCACCGGCTCAGATTCATACTTCCCCCATGTCGGCGTCGATTCATTGGCTGGTGTGTGTCCACAGCGTCTCTTGCTATAGCTCTGGGAGGATGACGATGATCTTGACGGTTACATTTTCCGGCGACTGTTACACTCCCCAATTTTGGAGGTCATAACTTTGGAGATCAATGCTTTTGACGGTTCCCGTGACAAATTCAATCCGGCAAAGTTTCGATAAGTCTTTCAATTTCCTTCCTAATTTATTATTATTATTATTATTATTATCAATTTTTTATATGTTTTCACTTAAAATTTAAACTTTTTTCTTTGACAAAAGGTAATCATATATTGATCTGGACAAATAGATAGTTACATCCTGGAGTTCAGCCAGATCTGAAAATCAAAGAAGCGACACGTAGTCGCGTACAAAGAAATGACCTGTCTAGCTACCGAATGAGCTACCCTAATGCTACTTCGACCTACAAATCGCACACTGAAGCCCATATGTAGAGCGAACGTCTGCACAACCTCTTGCAGAACAGACCCCGCCTGGTTATCACTTACATCTCTCTAGTTAACTTTATCGATAACCACTTTGGCATCCCCTTCAAAAATCATCTAAGAAAATCCCTGCTCCAAGCACCAGGTGACAGCCTATCGGAGGAGAAGTAGTTCCACCACCACGGAGTCATCGATCAGAGGAAACTGGACGTCTCTAGCCCGATGGACCTCCCAGTCAGGAGTGAGGACAACCATAACACCTGCTGAATGAGACCCCTTCCTAACTGCCTTATCCCACATACAAACTGGCACATTTACCCTATCCGGAGCCACCAGAATAGGCTGGATATTGGCATGCATGGGAGATATGTCAACCGGGAGACGGGCCCATTCATCCATCTGCTGGTTATATTGTCTCTCATTAGGGCAGAAATCCCGAATTGTTTGCCTTCAAAGACAACCCAATTCCTAGACTTCCAAATTTGCCAAAGGACAGTAACCACCGCCATGTATGACGAGGCAACCCTGGCCAGGGTGCTCTAACCCAGAGTGATCCCAGATCGCATGGGCAACAGGGCAATCCAGATACAAATGCTCCATCGTTTCCGAATCAGCCCAACACACTGAACATCTAGGTAGCACCGCAATCTTTTTCTCAATTAGCGTTTCCATCATCGGCAAGATCCGGTTAAAGATTTGCGAGACAAACTCATCTACTTGGCGGAATGTTAGCTTCCCATAACTGGATCCAGCTAGATTTATCCATCCAGCTAGCAAGTGGCCTCCAATTGTTACTCTGCTGATTAAGGGTGACCGCAAGATGATATACCGATCTGACAATGAAAACACCATCAGCAGTGGTATGCCAAATTAACCGATCCTCAATGCTCTGCCGAGGTAGCATAATGGTCTTAATTGCTTGGCAGGTCGGGGGGTCAAACTACTGATTGAGTTTAAGACCACACCAGCAACCCTCCCTTGGGCATAGAACTTCAGCCACCTTCAGACTCTCCCCCTGCAGGAAGTACCCGGGGATTATACACTGGAGGGATAGGATGCTGCCTTGGGATCCAATTCGAGTTAAGCAGAGGGGCCGTCTGACCATTCTCAATTTGCCACCGGACCCCCTGTCGTTAACAACTGGCGCCCATAAAGGATGCTCTGCCACCCCCAAGAAGGTGGGGGGGGGGGGGGGAACGAGCCGTAGCCGTGAGGAAAGACCCATTAGGAAAATATTTCCCTTTATAAACCTGGGCCAAGAGGGATTGAGGCTCATTCAGAATTCGCCACCCAATCTTGGCCAACAAAACCTGATTAAAATGCTCGAATCGACGAAAACCCATCCCCCCTCATGCTTACTCCTACACAGGTTATGCCAGGATGTAACACCCTAACCCGGTCGGGTATTAATTTTACCAGAATATCCTTGAAAATTAAAACACTCAAAGTTTAAACTTCAATGGGAAAAATCTTCATAAATAAATTTATGAAAACACATGCTTGTAGTTCAAAGCAACGCCCTAACACATGGGCAACTTAAGTCAAACTTTAAAAACTCAACTTGATCTCCAGTCTATACTCATAATCATAAAACATAATAACTAACTAGTCTCAAGTGTTGCTGCTTGTGTGAAACTCTGACTAGACATCCTCTGTGACGCTCGTACCATCCTCCTCTGGCTAGCTTCCCTCGAATTGTTTCTCTCGATCCCGCTGCTCTCTAACTACTCCTCTAGCTCCTTACTCTTCGAACTAGTGAGTGAGTTGGGGTCAGTCTACGCCCTTACGATTTAAACTTCCTACTGCTTAGCACTTTACTTAAAACACTTACTTAAATTGGCGGAAGTTGTTTGTACTTCCACTCTTAAAAACTCTTAACTCTTAAACTGTGCGGGAGCTAAATTTACTCTCCCTTCTTAAAGCTCAAATCGTGAATTAAACTTTTGACTGACACGGGGATCCCTCACTAGCTAGTCCGGTTTCCAACTCATACGTATGACAAGCCATCCAGGCTTTCCTTAAACTCAAACTTATCGTGGAAGGCTCTTCTGCCACGATTCTCAAGAGCATAACTGCTGCTCAACTTAAAAATCTCAAGAGCATAACTGCTGCTCAACTTAAATATCTCAAGAGCATAACTGCTGCTCTGTCTCAAAGATCTCAAGAGCATAACTGCTGCTCTATCTCAAAATCTCAAGTGGCAACGGACTGACGCTAGTGACTAAAACTCTTAAAACGGTTTCACTTTCTTGAAGGTGCAGAACTTCTTAAAAGAAAACATGTTTCTTATACTTGAACTTACTTGTAACCAAAACATGCAATAACATAAAATGAAAGCATAACTCACACAAACTCACATGACATCATACAAAGGCAAGTATGACACATAACAGTCAGTCTCGAAAACTTAAATACCGTAAGGCGTAGAATTTACCCTCTTTACACTCACTTTACGATCAAGTGGATTGATTCGAACAAACCATAATTCAAATGCTGATCGTCTTAGAGTTCCCACCAAGAGCTTTGTAAGTGATCATCCCTCTCACGTCTTCATCAAATCCCCACTGTATAATTCCATCCGTCCCATCAATCCACACGTCCAAATTTCCAATATATAATTCCAAACCCTAGCCATGCAATATCACTTCCTCGTGGTCTCTAGTTCCCTCCCGTTGCTGCGACGACTTATCGAGGTAAAAAACCTGGAGGCACATGGCGGATTGCTTGGAAGCTAATTGCTCATCTTCCCCAACAATTAACAAGAAGTTTCGTTGCTGGAACTGCTGGAGGAAAAGGACGGAGGAAGAGTGAGATTGGAATCTTGAATTGAAGTTGAGGTCACGATCGAGGAAACTGACGATGTTGTCGTTGCAGTCGATCATCACCTTGTCTCTACAGCTGGAAGAGCACTTGATCTTACCGGAGATTTCGACTGGAATCGACATGGGAACTTCTTCGGGGGATTTCTTTATTTGTGCAAGGGAAAGAAGGTGTTCCCGGGATGCAGCTTGGCCACGAGCGGCTGTGGAAAGCTAGCTGCTCTCATTTATTTCCTTGTCGAAAGGGTTTCAATCGGGTAAGGAATAAAAATTGAGGGTTTTATTAGTTTTGTGTGGTGAGACCGAGTGGGGTAAAGGTCTTGAGGGCTTTAAT